CGAGCCGTCGCGCGGCCAGAGCCCTAGTCAGGCCTCTGCGGAAAGCGAGCATGGCGACGCTTCGGGTGCTGCAGAGGACAGGCAGCCAGTGATCTTCTCCCGACTCCTTTCCAGCTTCCTGACTGCACCAGCGCCGGACGCAGGCTGAGGGCGGTACCCGGCGGGGCCGGCTCCGCCCCCAGGTCCGGGAGGCGCGGCCTCGAGGCCTTGCGCGCTTGTACACCCTTGTGAGCACGATACCCGGAACGTTTTGCGTTAGCCTGTCCACCATTTGTTATCCCAAACTTATTGCCTCCAGTGTCAGAGAGCATATTAGAATTAGCTGAATGCTGAGATCAGTACTGCTCTACATTTGCGGGTCCACTTACCTCATCTACACCAAATGCAGTTTCGTAAAATTCATACACGTTTGTGGGCCAACGTGTGCAGGTATGTCTACTGAGAAGAAAGCGTGGGTGCATGGGAGCCCACGTATATAATACTTTGACACAAAACAAGATAGGTTTTTTTCAGAGGCTAGGTTGTTTATAAAGGATCTCGGGTGGCGTAGAGGGTAAGGCATTTGTCTGCTAAACAGAAGGTCGGTGGTTCAAACCACCAGTTTCTCATTGGAAGGAAGATGGAGCGTCTGCTTCCGTGAAGACTTACAACCCCGGAAGCCCAAGGGGGATTGCTATGGGTTGGAATCCACTGGGTGGCAGTGAGTTTGGCTTTGTTTTTGAGGTTGTTTAGAAGGTCCCTGGTTAGTGCACTTGGCCCGTGGCCACTCACCAGAAGGTTGGAAGTTTGAAACCACCTAACAGCCCTGGGGAGGAAGGGCTGGCGACCTGCTTCGGTAAAAATTACAGTCAGCAAAACCATATGGAGCTGAGTGTTGCTCTGTAACACATGGGATCTCCATAAATTGGAATAACTCCAAAGCAACACGGTTTGTGTGTGTGTGTGGGGGGGGGGGTTGAGTTGTATATGGTGTAATACAGGCAATCTTTAGGTTTCAAAGGAGCTCCGTTCCTATGTATTTAAGAATTTATCAGGACTTCCAACAGGTTCTACCTAGTTCAGGTGTGGCCAAGGAAGTGTCATTGGAACAGACCCGATTTTTTAAAGTTATGGGGAACCGGAAGGATAGCCTGACAGGAAAACTTCTGGGTCAGAGATTTGCTAGAAACTCAGTCTCCTTTTATAGAAGGGCAGTGGATGTGTTGCATAGCAACCAAATTTTTTGCTCTTGGATTTTGAGCATAGTCAGTGTTAGGCCGAAGCAAACCCAAGCCACCAACATTTCAGTTAGCAGCTTCCTCCAGGTGTCAAGCCCTGATGAGACAGCCTGATAAGACAACCGAAGTGACAGAACCCACCCAGACTAGAAAGTCCCATGCAGTGGCAAACTTCCTCTTGTGAAGCCCCCTCATGCTAATTAAGTGCAGACCCATACTAACAGCTAATTGGACCCCACTATTTCCTTAGTGTCCCCGCTTAGGTCCTCCACAAGACTATAAACCCTCCCCACCCCAGCCAGGCGGTGCGACTTCCCGGGCCCCTCTCAGGGACCCGTGAACCTTGCCCGGGCCCCTCTTGGGGGCCCGTAAACCTCCCCCGGAAACTCAGAATAAAAACTTCTCTTTAACCTCACTTTTATACATCCTCTTCTTACTGTGGCCTTACAGTCAGAAGCAGCACTCTTCTGTTCAAAAATGGGATCTGACGGTGCTCCTTTGAGTGTGTCTGTCTCACAGTCCTGCCAATCCAGTGTCACGCTTCAGTTTCCTGAAAGGGCTCAGTGTGCCTCTGTGAGGCTCCCGTTCCACGCCTTCTACCTATAATTTTTCATACCCACGTACCATGCCGAATCTGCCAAATGGTAAACCTTTGAGTCTGTTCCTGTTTGGCTTCGTTGGCCATGACAGAACTGGTTTAAAGGGCAAGTAGGAGTTGTCCCTAAGTAACAGTGGTAACCCAGGGACCGCCTGTGTACATATGACCAACACCAGTTAGCCCAGGGACCGCCTGTACATGTACGGCCAACACCAGTTAGCCCAGGGACCGCCTGTACACGTACGGCCAACACCAGTTAGCCCAGGGACCGCCTGTACACGTACGGCCAACACCAGTTAGCCCAGGGACCGCCTGTATACATACGACAAACACCAGCCAAACACCGGCTGGGCCTTTGCTTTTTGCATTAAGTGCATCTTCATGCCCCATTGCCAACCTCAGCATGACTTTGAAATGCTCCTAATAATGCTTTAGATTAAATTTCCCAGGAACTCAGAGGAATGGGGGCCCTGAGTAAGAGTTTACAAAGTGAAATTTAAGTATACCTAGTTTGAAGTTTTATAAGTCTTAAAAGCAGAACAGCAGACCTCTTGTCCCCAAAATAACCACTTTCAATCTTGTTAAGGTTTTTCTTCAAATGATTGTTTTCATATTCCTAAATAACAGGCATATTCTGCTGTTTCTTGATTTTTCTTCAGTGCATTTATTATCTGTTGACTTTTGTCTATGGAAGATGAGGATTCCGGTGTCTTACATACCACTACCCCCAAATGCACTTCTCTTTCCATATCTAAAAATGTTCACATTCTTAGTAATTGGGCAATTGAATCCCATTATTAATGTACAGTGTATCAGTGCTTGTATATTTCTAATAATTATGTTATGGCAAACATTGAAGTAGTATTGCTTACATTATCAGGACAGGGCTGTCCCCTGTGGTTGTTCTGGTTGCCTGTGCAAGTGCTTCTGAACCCTTCTAGCCACAGCAAGGGAGGCTTTTCAAAGTTGGTAATTTTAGAAAGGGGTGCCTTAGTTTTTCCACAGAAGGAACATCCATTTCTCATCAAGCAAAACTAAGCAAAGTATCATGTGCCAGGACTGGATCTATGTGATTAAACTGATTTTCTTATACTCTTTGGGTTTTTGTTTTCCTGAAATTGATTTGTTCAAAAATTCAACCAATACTTATAAAATTCTTTCTATTCACTGGACACTTTTTAGAAACTGGGCACAGAGGTGAACAAAAGACAAAATTCTTGTCCTCTTGAGATTTTCAATCTAGGTTGGGGAAAACAGGAAACTAAAGAAGAGGAAAAAAGAGAAAAATCCTCAGTGACCATGGAGTCCATTCTGACACATGGTGACCCCATGTATGTCAGAGTATATCAGGGTTTAATAAATGCCAGGAAAAGTAATGTAGATGGAGGTAGCAGACATTGTTAACTATTTCCCAATATCCATTCTTTCCTTTTTTTCGTTCTTAGTAATAGAATTCTTGCAGCTTGATATGGCCGTGTGACTAAGTCTTGGCCAAATGGATAAAAGGGATACAAATACTAGTGCATTTGTAACCTCCCATAAGTGGGGTAAGGGTTATTCTCTTCTCTGTCCGTTCCTCATTTCTTCTTGCTGGAATGTGGCTAGTGGACCGTAAGGTAGAAGCAACATGCTGAAGGTGGTGGAACAATGAGAGAAGTCTGACACCATAAAGTACCAGACTTGGAGTCCTGGACTGCCCATCATTGGCCTTTTTTCCATGACTTATCATTTTCTAGTCAGGCTGATGTCAGATGGATCTTGGCTGAGAGCAAAGAATACCAGAAAGATGTTTACTTGTGTTTTATTGACTATGTAAAAGCATTTGATTGTGTGGATCATAACAAATTATGAATAACTTTGAGAAGAATGGGAATTCCAGAACACCTAATTGTGCTTATGAGGAACATGTACATAGACCAGGAGGCTGTTGTTTGAACAGAACAAAGGGATATTGAATGTTTTAAAATCAAGAAGGGGGTGTATCAGAGTTGTATTCTTTCACCATTCTTACTCAATCTGTATGCCGAGCAAATAACCCAAGAAGCTGGAGTATATGAAGAAGAATGCAACATCAGGATTGGAGGAAGACTCATTAACAACCTGTGATATACAGACGACACAATCTTATTTGCTGAAAGTGAAGTGACTTGAAGCACTTACTGATGAAGATTAAAGACTACATTCTTCAGTATGGGTTACACCTCAACATAAAGAAAATGAAAATCCTCACAACTGGACCAATAAGCAGCATCATGATAAATGGAGGAAAGATTAAAGTTGTCAGAGATTTCATATTGCTTGAAGAAGCAGTCAAAAAATCAGATGATATGTTGCACTGGACAAGTCTGCTACAAATGATTTCTTTAAAGTGCTGAAGAGGAAAGATGTCTCTTTGAAGACTCATGTTTGCCTAACCCAAGCTATGGTGTTTTCAGTTGCCTATATAAGTGTGTGAAAGCTGGGCAATGAATAAGGAAGACCAAAGAATAGTTGATGCTTTTGAGTTGTGGTGTTCATCAGTAGTTGTAAAATACTGAAAGTCCCGTGGACTGCCAGAAGAACTAGCAAATCTGTCCTGGAAGAAGTGCAGCCGGAATGCTCCTTGGAAATGAGAATGGCCAGACTTTATCTTACTTACTTTGGTCATGTTGTCAGAAGGGACCATTCCTGGAGAAGGATATCAATGAGATGGATTGACACAGTGGCTGTGGTGCGGGACCAGGCAGTGTTTCATTCTGCTGTGCATAGGGTCACTGTGAGTCGGACATGACTCGACGGCACCTAACAATAACAACAACAACAACAACAACATAATGAATGTTCAGTAGTGTTCATTACATTGATTAAAATCTCATTCTTCCTTTTAAGCAATCTTATATATTAATATCAATACTATATTCTGTAATCATCTGCTTTATTATAATATAACCACTATTAATTTATGTTGTCTTTAGCTTATAGTATCCCATATTTATAATCGTTGTTTTCCTCAAATCTGGTGTGATGATAGGAGCATAGGGAAAGAAACAGCTCAGCCACATTATAGTTTGTTTGAATTGAATGTCAGCTTCTTAATATTCATTAAAGTTTCAGATCAGAAAATGCCCTGGGAAATTTGAGTCATTATGTAACAGTTGTTTAAGAATAGCAATATTACAAAATACGGAAATGATTGTCATGTGAATATATGGGAATGGAATTATCAGAAACTTCTTTCTGGTCTTAATAGTATTGAAA